TTTTATGGCTTTATTTATTCCATTTTGATGCATGTCTGTGGAATGCACACTGTTGCTTCTTTTATAAGCAATTAAGTGTGGCAGACCATAGTGAGCTTTTGCAACATGCTCCAGATAAAGGGGCAAACCTGACCGTGCTGCTGCTGATGTGCGTGACTTGAGCAGCAGTTTGTTGCTAACTCCTGGCAACACATGGACAACACTCCCCGTATCTGCAGGGTCTCAATGTTACAACCCAGCTCATGGTTGTTTTACAAATCTTTTATTGCACAACCCTATTGGCCACTGCAGTCTGAATCAGCAGGTTCCTTGGCTTGCTGAGATTAAACTCTTGAGCCAGAACATTTCGTAATTATGCCCCTCAGCTACAACTATCTGGCATTCCCAATCTGTGTTATTTAAAACAAAGCTGTTTCTTTTATTCTTTAATTTCCTGTGCCACTGCCAGCTTACAGTGGTGATTACAGCCTGATGGATGGGTAGGTAGACTGATGCTTTTAACTTTTCCAAATCAATGACACTAATTTTTACTGTGATTAATTGAACAGTATCCTAGGAGGCTCCTGTGCAGGATGTTGTATTTATGTACTTTGTTGTTGCTGCCCATCCTTGTGAATCAGAGGAGAGTGCAATCCTCTGTAATGCTTCCCTGAGGTAAAAGAAGCTAAAGAGCTTGAAAAAAAAAAAAAAAAAAATCTGGAGGGAAAGACTTTATTATACATCTAAGACACTTCAGCAAAATCTTGAGACTCCTTACAAAAATCCTCAGAGGAAATGGTGTCAGTTGCAGAATAATACTCTCATGTGAAAGCCTTCCACCTAAGGTTCTGTTGGGTATTTTTCTGGGAAGCAGCATTTCCTTTTCCCCTCAGATTTTTTCAGAGCACCCACAAACCACAGGCTATCACTTCTGTAGGCTGCAAAAGAAGATGAGGAAGTGTAAGGAGCTGATATATAAGAGATTTTTGTCTGGAGCATCTAGCCTCTGTTAAGAGGGATGTGATCTAATGTTAATAGGATTCTTTGAGCTGGAGTTCAGGTTTTCTGTGCTGAAGGTAGCTCATCGTACATCTATGTATATTATATAGGTTTCTCTGAAAGCAATGCCTCCTATTTATGCCCACAGAAGTGACTACAGATACAAAGAGCACAATAATGCTGTTTGATAGAAAAAAATGCTCAGCTACAAAACGCTATTTTTCAACACAGTCACTGCCATTCACTATGCATTTTCAGCAGTGATGATGCCATGCTCATAAAAATCTGCACCAAAGGAGGTGACACGCTGTTTCACAGCTGCTGTGATGAAATAGTTGCTAGGAAAATGTTGCTCACACAGTCCATCTTTCATTGGCCTGGACTGATGGAAATCTGAAGGCACCAAAGCCAGATTATATGGTGAGTGTGGCAGGACAGTTCAGCCAAGGCTAGCAATATGCTCCACGGTCTTCAAACTGGCCTGGGGCCTGGTGTTATCATATTGCCAGAGAAAGATTGTCTTCTTCTCTGGCCTAACTTTGGAAGTTTGAGCCTTCAGCTTAGTCAGCAATCATCATGGTCAGATTTGATGGTTTGTCCAGGTTCCAGGAAAGCCAGAAGGATCATCCTTTTCCACCCCAAAAGACAGTGCACATCACTTTACCTCCTGAGGGCTGCATCTTGAACTTTACCTTCAGTGGAAATTCACGTCGCCACTCCATGATCTGCTGTTTTGACTCTGTCTCATAGTGGTGACATCATGTCACCATTGCTATCCAGGAAACCATCACCTTCAGCCTCATATTGGCTCAGCAGGTCCTGACAAACTTGCATATGGTGTTCTTTCTGTTCTGGTGTTAGCATTCATGGGACCCGCTTGCTGTAAACTCTGCAATATTCCGACGTTGCCATCATTGTTTCCAACTCATCGAGGCCAATATTCAGCTTGATATACAGTTCTCTGGTCATAATCCATTGATATACATGGATGAGCTGACTGAGATGCTCTTAATTTCTTGGTGTGATAACTGTGCTTCACTATCTGGAGTGTGGCCAGTGTTGCCTGATGAGATGCACCACCCAGGAATACTGTTGGGAAGGTTCAACCTCTACTGGCCATACCAGTATCTACTTCTGATGTCGTGGGCCATCATCATAAAACAGAAGGCATTACTATCAGAGAAGCCCTTGTATTAGAGTTCTCTGTATGCCCACTATGAAACCACACCCATCTTTTTTGCTCCAGCAATCTATTGCTTCATGGAAATTACTTTTGGAGATACATAAAAGTAGAACAAAACATGGAAAAACGGTAACAGTGTTATAGAATATAAAAGATGTTAGTCTGTGGAGCTGCTGCTCACTTTCATAGTCAGAAGAATCACATATCCATTTCTTAGGTTTTTCAAACAATTTCAACAAATAGCCTTCTTCTTCAAAATGAAGTTTTTCCAATCAGAAACATTGGCAGTAAACCTGACAGTGGCTTTGCAACCTCTGATCTCATGGTGATGAAAGTTTTGCATGCCATGGATCAATATGCATTGCTCTCAATACTCCCTTTCTTTTAGGACAGATCTCTCATTTGAAATGGGAAAGTCTGAGGAAATTAACCTGAAATTCTCTCAGGAAATTAATGACAACATTTCTATTTTGCTTAAGATGTAACCAAATTATCCTCACTGAAAATTAATTTCCAGCCTACTGCCCAACCTATGCTTCGGTTCACCATTAAAGAAATCACCTATTGAGTTTCTCACAGCTGCACTCCAATGTTTGGGCCATTAGTAATAATATTAAAATAAGAGCAGTGAGAGCAGATCACTGGATCTTCTTGGGATCAGCCTTTCATGCAGGACTAAGGAAAGAGACACCCAAGGTTGGGCTGGATGGGTCTCTGACATCTGATGGAGATGTAGGTGCCCCTGTTCATTGCAGGGAGTTGGAGCAGATGGCCTTTAAGGATCCCTTCCAACTCAAACAATTCTGTGATTCCATGAAAGTTTGTCCATCTCTGTAAGTAATAACTCAGTTTCCAGGCAAGCAGAGCGTGTCAATGAATTTATTTTCATTGCAAAGGGAAAGAGCCTTAACAAGAATTTTCATGTCCTGCCTAGGCGTGATGTTTTAGTGCATGCAAGCAGAAAGGGTTTTCTTCTCTGGAACCCAGAGGATCTATTTCTCAGAGCTCTTGAACGGTGTCAGCTGCATGTCACAGGCACTGTAGGCTGTCTGCAGCAGCAGATCTGAGGCAGAAATCTCATGTCTCTGTGGCAAAGTGACAGCAGATGCTGCCTCTGGGAGAGAGGAGGTTTAGCGAAAATGTTGCCTCGATAAAGGACATGGTTATACAAGAGGAATTCAGCGTGCCTTTGCATATTTTAAGGGAGGGAGGGAAGCCCAAATTTCTGCATTTTCTTCTTTTCTAAGAAATGTTACTTCATTGAATTTTTATTCAAATGTGGCTCTGATCAGGAAACAATAGGAAATAGGAAAACTCTAGAAGGAAGCATTTCTAGGCAGGGAGAAATTGAGATGCATTTTCCTTTTTCTTTCTTTGTGAGATACAGTTAATATTGTCTAAATTCTCAGCTGATAGAAACTAAGTTGGCTCTACCTGAGATGACAGAATCGCTTAATGTATTAACTTGTGTATTACACTTAATTCACTAAGCATCAACTGTTCTTTTTCCTTCTTTATTGCTTTTTGGAAGGCCACTGCAAAAATGGCTTTGCAGACATTTTGCAGTGCCTCTACACCCCTTTTTCAGTGTTCAAAGCAGACTTATTTGAAAATTTATGCTTGACTAATGATATTAAATTAAGCTTCTTAAAATGTTCTTGAATGTGTAATGTCGGTGGCTGACACCATAGATTTGTATAACTTCAGAACCTGTAGCAATGTATTCTCAGCCCAACATGCAGTGCTAGGCTCCTACCATGCAGTGCAGAGATCTGACTTATAGCAGTATAGAACTTACACATACGTAAATTAATCCTTGATTTTCCTGCTGATGCACAGTCTGCTTTCCCATGAATCTTTTTTGTCTGTGTGTGTGTGTGTGTCATTTGAAAATGACTTTTCATTATTTACGTTATTGCTTTGCATTGTGCTGTGTGGCAATATTAAGAAGTTTGCGAAGTGGCTTCTGGTGTGAAGGTGTGTTGGGTCTTTTGACTAAATGTTTCTTGCCCCACTGCTGGAAAAGGAAGTTCAGTGATCTGGGATCTCTGCCACCTTGTGCTATTTAATTTGATGAGGTGCAGTTTGGTGCTTAGTACCACTGGTGGCTTTAAAGCAGAGAGCATTCTTTTTCAGTTCTGGCACCAGGGGCTAGAAAATCACTTGTAAAGAGTCTTAAAGTTTAATGAGAGCCACTGTAAGTCATGGTATCTGCTTGCCATTTAATACGTGGATCTGCAATATTTTCCTGGTCAAAACAGAAAAAAAAAATGTCATGACCCTATACTAAACCATTGTTGGAAAAAAAGGTTGGGTTTCTTAGACTGAAGATTTAGTAATGCAGAGGGTGAGTGTGAGGTCAGGTAAGCAATCAGGAAGGAGCTCAGATGGCAGATGCTGACGTTTTCCAGACAGTGTCAGACTACGCAACCAGAGAAGCAGGTTCACCATCACAGTGTTCCCAGAACTGTAACAGGAGACACCAAGTTTATGATTTTTAATTACTATTAACTGGTAGGAGAAATTACATTGAGTACCAAAGTCCTGCTTAGTTAGACACCTTGTTTCTATCTATTCCAAATAGCAGAATGCCAGGCAATCGTTTGCCATTTCAGCTCTAGCTGTGATTACCATTTCCCAGTTTGCCCTTTCAAAGGAAAAATAAGATTACAGTGATCTTTGGTACTGTGAAGTTAGCATACATCGTTGTGTTTTCACTCAGTAGAATTTACCTTGGAGCATCTCTGCGTTTACGCAAGAACATTCAAACTTGAAATCTAGTTTTCCATAGTGAAGCCAACTATGTGACATTTCATGTATTGTCTCTCCTGTTTTGCAGCACTTGCCCTGAGGGATACATATGTCTGAAGGCCGGGGAAAATCCTGACCATGGTTACACAAGCTTTGATACTTTTGGCTGGGCCTTTCTCTCTCTGTTCCGTCTTATGACTCAAGATTATTGGGAACGCCTCTACCAACAGGTATGAGTGTGTTCTATTACTTTTTAAAATAGAAAATAAACACAACATTTTGTTATAGTTAAATATCTAATAATTTAAGGCAGGAAAGAATTCCTAGTTATTAAGTAAATCATTCCTGGTGTGTTCTGGACAAGGACCTTCAATCATTACAATTAATTTCCTTACTTAGAAGCGTTGATGATATGACAGTGCATTAGACTGGCTGCTTGGGGGAGAGGACAGAATTGGAGTTCAGAGCAGAACGCTTTGAATTTATCTGAATTGCAGAAAAGTTCACTATTTAAAAAAAGACACCACATCACTGCTTAATAATGTTTGTGGCTGATGTAGCACAGACTGGTCTTCTGAATCCAGTTCAACAACAAGCAAATAAGCAAACAGAAATGCACTGTGACTTGGCATATCTATTTTTTCAAGGCATGGCAATGAACACAAATTTATCAGACAGTAAGGCTACCTGGTACCTCTTGGCAAACCTTTCATTGCAGACACCTAAGAGCCAGGACCACAAATGGGGTTAACTTACAGCCATATGTGCAAAGTGGTCTGCTAGTAAATTTTCATTTTAGCATGCATTTCCCACATACATGCACGTTCTGAAGAAATGCATGTGATAGTTTGGTACTGAATTACATGCTCTGTCCATGAAACCATTAAGCATTTACTTCTGCATCTCAAAACTGCCAAAACCAGACAATGCTCGTAAGGAAATCAAGGGAGTTTGTCCAGAAAATTCCTAATTGAAGGAATTAAGGTAGATACCTTTGAAGGTATCAGGGATTCCTGCTTCACATGCAAAGAATCATGCAGTTTCGTTTCAGGAAAATGTATAACAAGGAAATCAAAGATTCTTTGAACAACTACATTTGTGTGGTGCAGAACTGCATGCAAAGCTCTGGAAGGTTGAAACTGTCGTAGCAAATAACAGTGAACATCACTCCTATTATTGGATCTCATAATAGCACCACGGTAATTTCTATCACCAGTGTCAAGCTCTTACATATCTGTAATATAAGCTCAACCTACCATGCTAAACTCCAGTAATGCCTATGAATCTCATGAAGAACTGGGCAGTATAATCAAAGCACCCAGGGTGCTTAATAAGAGGCAGATCTCTAAATAATGCTTAGGTGAATAATACCCCAAAAGTACCTTTTTTCTCTCCATCAACTGCAAAAGGAACTTCATTGTTGATATCTGAATGGAAATAAGGTGAATCCCTCTCGGAAAGTTCCTATGGACCAAACAAGCAAGAGTCTAAGGCTAAGCTGTGTGAGCTATTGTTGCAGGATATATATATATATATATATATATATGTGTATTTGTTCTCAAAGAAAACATGCAGAAATGTTTGGTAAAACATTCTCCTTTTGAAAATGAGGAATGTTTAGACATTGTGCTTTGGGGCATGGTTTAGACAGAACTATTGGTGATAGGCAGCTGGTTGGACTGGATGATCCTGAAAGTCTTTTCCAACCTTGGTGATTCTATAATTCCATGATGAACAAAAGCTGAATTCAATTATATTTTAAATCTACATTTAAAAAAGAATCAAAGTATCTTTTTATTGTTATTATTATTATTTTTCCCCTTTCAAAATACATTGTGAACAAGTCTTACTGATATTACCTTTATACTTTTAGACTCTCAGATCTGCTGGGAAGATCTACATGCTCTTTTTTATGCTGGTCATCTTTCTGGGCTCGTTTTATCTGGTCAATCTGATTCTGGCTGTGGTGGCCATGGCATATGAAGAGCAGAACCAAGCCACTATTGCTGAAACGGAAGAAAAGGAAAGAAAGTTTCGGGAAGCCATGGAGATGTTAAAGAAAGAGCAGGAGGTAGGTAAACTGTATGATGTGATCGTCCTTGGGTAACTTTAAGATGGTACCTCAAGATTCAAATTCTCTTCAATTCAGAATAAGAGTCTGTTTGAAAGCAGCTTAATGTTTATTGTCCTGCTCAGAGTTATTATCATCCTTTCTAAAAGAAAAATGATGATTCTTCCTGCTCAGAGTGAGGCCATTTAGTGTTCACACATCCAGAGCTGTATTGGTGTAACTGTAACTGTGTGTGCCAGCAGAGGAATTTACATTCGTTGACATATACATCGTATTCATGATGATATAACTACATCTGCATTCAAGAACAGAACATCTATTTTGGTATCTCACCCATAGCTCCAGCTGAACCTCCTTCCACATCTTCAGCCCACGCTCATTTTCACAGTTTCGTTTACACTGCTGTGAATATCCAGTTGTCTGATAATGGAGACACACGACTTTGTAACTGAACAAGTGAACAGACAGATCTTGAGGTTAAACTTTGCATATTTTGTAAAGGATATATATGGATTAATGCTGTGTTGCAGTTTCCAGAGAAACAGGGAGGCCAAAATGTGGATGTAGCAACGTAGCCTTAATAACACCAATTAATTTGCCTGTGGTTTGTGTAGGGTTGAAAGCCTTTATTAAACAGTTGAAGAGAACGTTTTAGGTGCTGTGATCAGGAAGACAATAAGAAAATTAGTCTGAAATAACATGCAGCAGTGTAGTTGAGAGAAATAAATCCTCGATACACAATATAAACTAATATACATAATTTGCTTTTGGGTACGTGTGGCTTCAAGGCCTAATACAAAGCCCATTTAAATCCTTGGAAAGAAAATAGAAAATGTAATTCATTCTTTACGAAGTGCTGGTAGAGGCTTATGCATGGTTTATGTCCTTTTAAAGATCCATTTTGATGGTTTAAGTAATAGGTAAAAAGCAATTTAGTCCATATATGAACAGAGCAACTTTATGCCATAACCTTAGGGAGCAAACTGAACTCCAGCTTGTACCTGTTTTATGTAAATGTTCATGTCTTTTGACTCCAGCTGAGCTCTTCTTAATAACATTCAGCTTTGGTAGCCCCACTTATAATTAAACATATTTAAGCATTTCCTTTTGAAGTCTTTGATTTTAGTTAAACCTGTATGTACATACACAGAAAAGGAACACTGAAGCCTGAAAGTCAGTATGTGTCAAAATGAAGGCTTCTCATGCAAACCTAAATTGTTTCCATTTTTCTCTATGATTTACAGCATGGTCTTTTCTTTAACCAGCCAAGTCTCATTTTTCCTGTGTCTGGTTCAGTACAGAGAGCTGACAGTGTGTGACTCAAGAGCAGTTCTTGAGTTTCTCCTCGTTTGCTCTGTAGCCTTAGGCCAGCTCAAGATTTCCAGATTTGGGCTTTCAAAGGCTGCTTCAAAACCCAAATGACTAACATCCTCTGAGGTGCCTCCTGTCACTGCTCAGACTCTGCATGCTTCAAAACTACTCATTAATGTTTGCAGTCCTCCTGGAGAATTATCTCTTTTTTTGTGGAGAAGCAGCTTAGGAATACAGAGGATGGGATCCAATGTGTTCACTTGTTTGGGTTTTCTGAATGCCCAGGAGCTGTCACCTACAACTTTGTACCTGCAAAATGTCCATAACTACATGTTAAGTTTGGTTATTCTGCAAATCAGCCCCCAACACATCCAACTAAGCACCCTGAAGAAGATGCTCAGCAAAGTGATTTGAGTGGTTTGCTATGCCATGTAGCTTTCAGATGTCCTTTGCTGCAGTCAGAGCTACTCAGTTTTAATTTTGCTCTTCAGGTCCTTATCTCAAGTTCTTGGTTTTGGCTTGCACACCATACCACTAGATCTCACCTTAAGTTCCATCTTGTGCATAAATGCCATGTCAGGGCTCACCTGGGCTTTGCTATTCTCCCATCCTTCAGCCACCACCCATCCTTGTAAGGACATGCCTGCTCCCCATGTCCTTCTCTGCCCTGGGTGTTAACAGAGATTTGCAGTACAGGGGGGACAGGATGCTCAGCTCAGCCACTGGAAGCCAATCAAGAAGAGCAGATATGCAGGATGTGGGCACATCCTCCATGCCCTGAGAAACAACTTGGTCCAAATCCTTTTTCAACAACTGATGTAGAGCAGAAAACAATTTCAGCCCAAGCAGTGGGTAAGAAATTGCTAGGAAACTGAAATTAGCTTCTTTTTCAGTAAGAATACAGTGAGCTTAATAGCACAATCTACAATATTTTCTAGATCAATGCAGTATGATGGCAATCTGAAAGGAAAACTGAAACTCTTTAGACCAGCTTTGACATTGCTCAGTATAAAGAGAACATAGATATAACTGATAGAGCTGGTTGGGGACCATCGGTCAATTTAAACAATTGGTCTAACACATTCCTAAACCTGAATTTAACACCAGAAGACTTGCTGAATCTTTATGAAGAGAAAGAACTTCAGTACAGCAATTAAATCAATTGATTTAAAAAAAAAAATTCAACAAAATACAACAGCCTAGACTGATGTCTGAGCCCTCCTCCCTGCTCTAAGCAGCTTGCTCATGAAAGATATTTCCCATGGGAATTAAGTTTTGTTGTGCTCTCAGCTTGATAGAGCTACCGCTACTCCTTGAAATACATGATTGATTCTTTACACGACTGTTAAGTGCCTTCACTTTCCTTGGACTGATGCCTGTGGGAGGAAGGGAGTATTTTGCTGTGGAGAGCTGATTGCCTGTTTGATTCTAGTGGCTTGCAGACAATAGCACTGAGGATTTATCTGTTCCTCCTGTTCTTGGGAACCTGGAGAGGATTTTTATTTTTTTATAGTTCACTCATTTTATATACTCCATCTGGGGCTTTGCAAATGGGCCTGTCTGCAGGTCACTGATGTGGCTCCTGCTGGGACACGGCACCTCCAGATCCGACCTCACGCTTTGTGCAGAGCTGGCATCCTTGGGGATGGAGACCCAGTGAGCTGGCGTGGGCAGCGCCTTCCTCTCTGCTGGTATCGATTCTTCCTCCTGCTGCTCATTTGCTTTCAAGGCTCTTGCTTTGTGTGCTCAGGCTTTTGCAGTCGGCTTCTGCTGGGTTCCTCGTGGTTGGTCTGTTATCAGGTGGCTCCTGCCGTGATCCCAGCAGATAGCAAGCACAGCACTGAAGCACATGGCATAACAAAGTCCACCTTATCTCCAGTTAAGCCCATGGTTTTCTCCTTGAATCTCTCATCACAGCTGCCTGTGCTGCTGCTTGGGATAAGTGTTTACAAAGGCGTGCCAGCTGAATTGCCTGCTGCTCCTAGCATCTCTCCATGACAGCAGAGAAAAGCACAGCCACCAGCTTGGCTCTCATCTTGCTCAGCCTCCTGGTTTAAGGGGCTGCAGTCATGGGGGATGTTGATCTTGTGGTGTCCTGACCCCAATCTTTTAGCCACCAACAAAAGTGCTGCTCCAGGAGGAGTGTGTGCCCACGAGCTGGTTCTCTTGTGAAGTGTTAAGATTGATTGCTCATGAGCTCTCCATAAATCAGCTGATTTTATTAAGCCATTCCAATTTTCCATCACAGGATGTCAATGGTAGACCTGCATGTGTGCATCCATGCTAGGAGCTTGACTCACTTGCTTATTTTCCTCATGACTAAATAGTGAGGTTAGAAACAGGTTAAGAACAGTTCCAGCTACATGAGGTGGTTTTATCATTAATGACCTCTTCAACATTTTAATTGATTTCCTGTACAAACTTAAAATGTAGAACGAAAAATGAGTAATCATTTATGCTCAATGGGATCCAAATGTCAAATAATAATTTTTGCACCTTCTACCATCTTCTCTGTTAGGCACTAGCTGCTAAAGGGATTGACTCAATGTCACTTAGCTCCCTGGAAATGTCACCTTTAGCATCCAAAAATGCCAAGGAAAGAAGAAACAGGCGAAAGAAAAAGAAATCTTTGGGGGCAGAAGAGTATGGGGAAGACCAGAGGAATTCCAAGAGTGAATACGATGACGGTCAGAGGAGAATGGTAAGCCATGGTCTGAAATATCACTTCTTTCTCACTGCACTTGCTGAGTAGGCCAAGCTCTGAATGTGCAATTAAAGCTGAAACATCCAGCTGGAGAACAGAGTCAATATTTAATGTGACGACTGACCTGGAGATAGTTGTATATTCGAACTGTGAAAGGAAACATATTAGTACTTTCTTTTCAAAATGAATTAAAAATGCTCACTAAGCAGTCTTGTGAACCCGTGAACCTATTTTGTCTCTCTTTTTTTTTTACTTTTTTTTTTTTTGCTTCAGGATCCCCTCACAACCTGATTTATTTTCTTACTCTAATTTCATTCATCTGATTATATCTGTCCATTCCCTATTAGAGTCAAAATGCTCTGAGAAAAAAAGAAAAAAACCAAAAAACTTGCAAAGCTTAAAAAGAAAAGAGAGGAGCAGAAAAGGAGGAAACGTGCCTCTGAGGGCATTTTTAATGATATATAAAGATAATATTAACATTTTTCTATTCCTTTGCTAGTTGCCTCCAAGTCAAAACTTTGTGGCACTTGTTTCTACTGCACACTGCAGGAACAAAAATAGAGTGAGACTGTTGTTAAATGCTGTTTTATATAAACAATACTGACATGCATGAATATGAATCTGCACATGCTGTGTTATCAAATGATGGTAAATAGCTTCAGATCATTTGTTTCTGCTTAACTAAGGGCAAAGTTAAAATCAGTGCTTTTTATTTTTGTTTGTTTGTTTTCTGAATAGCCATGTAATGGGCTAAGTCTTTTCCTATTTTGTTGTCAGTGAATTTAGGGGTACTTGGCAGCCATAAAAAGCTGATAGAAAACAAGTAAGTGATTTAAGTAAATGTGACCAATTACGGACTCCCAAGCTTACCAGATTTATGCAGAGCTGTATTTCTGTAAATAACATACTTTTTAAAAATCTTACTAGTTTTTGTTTTCGCCTCATTGGTTGAGTGAGTTGTGTTACAAATTATACCTTTGTTAAAGCCAGAGTTGCTCTCTAGCTTCATTCTGGATGGATTTCAAGACTTCACATACCAGAACGATCATGGTTTGGAGTCGTATATTGCCAGTATTCCTTAAATTCCTTATTCCTTAAATGAATATTTCTTGTTTTCACTTTTTGCCCCTGGATGTCATATGTATGAGAAACATGGGAGACACATTTCAAAGCTTATAGTAAATCTTCTCTGCAAGGCAGTGTCTGGCATGGTTGGAGGGAGTAAGGCTGAGTCATCATTCAGATGCAATCTGAGCAGCTGGAAGTGTGTTGCCATCAGAAATCAGTCTCAATGACTATGTCATGGAAACCCAGGCATGGATATTTATTTTTTTTTTACCAGTTAAAGTTTGGTAGCAATCCAAATGGGTTGTTTTTAGTTAGAAGGAGCCTGGCTTTTGTACGCTTCCTTGTACCACTGTCACAAAATAGCATCATTACATAATCCAGTGGTGTGAGCTACAGCGAAAAAAAGAAATAATGCTCATTTGGCTTTGCTGGTTTGTGGAGATCTGACCTCTCTTCATATATACTTGGCTCATGAGGAAGTTCTGAAGAAGCTGAAAATTCTGTGCAGGCTGTAAAATCAAAAGTATGTTCTGCCTAAATGCTCTTACTCCATTAATTTCCTCTTCACAGTATAAGGGAAGGGGACAGACTTGAACTCCTTATGCATTTTCTGAACATCCTTTTCACTCTGTCAGGGTTTACATGTGTTTAGTGCTTGGTTACATCTTACTGGTGCTCTGTCAGAGTTGCATTCTCACCAGCAGACATCAGAGTGGATCATCAAGGCTGACGTTTAGGTGTAAAGGAGACTGCTGTATAAAGAGGTTGCCTACCCCTCAAAGCAGCTATGTGTGTTGGGGTAATCATTCTACAAACCAATAAATCATATTCCTCTTCTTGCTCTTCTTTTTTTTTTTTTTCTTTATCACCTTCTTCCGTCGTATTCTGCTTCTTCTTCTTCCCTCTTCTTCTCATTTTTTCCCACAGTTCATTTCCTGCCCTATTTCTTTATCTCTTGTTCTCCCACTGCAACGTTCCTTCCCCAGCTGTTATGAAGATGTGTGATAAATGCGGTGAACTGGAGCTGGATCCCCTTCCCTGCTCCTGTCTTCCACTCCTTGTGCTGCCTTCCCAAGTCCTTTGGCACTGACCATATGGGGAGGGAGTAGAAGCAAAGGAAGCATCACGCTACCAGGCGAATGCCACCTTGACCCTTCCTATTTCAGTACATCTTTAACTGTTGAGTATTAGACAGATACTTAATGGCTAGGACTGATTTTTCAACCTCTTAACTTTGCAAAGGTTGAATACGTGTAATTAAATCTTTCTCTGAATCACCTGATTTAAAAATGGAACTTATTATTCTCCCCAGACCTTCCTCGCTCCTCAAAACATGTTGCAAAATGTTGTTTCTCTTTCCCCTTTTTCCTTTCTGGGGGTTTCTAGACTCTCCTTGGCATTAGTTATGGTCCCAGTGCAAACTTGGTGAAGCGCAGAACCAGCCACGGAAGCATATTCAGTTTCCGACTCCGTGGTAGAGACACTGGCTCCGAAACAGATTTTGCCGATGATGAGATCAGCACCGCTGGGGAAAATGAAAGCCACCGAGGCTCTCTCTTAATTCCAAGATCTGGGAGACGTCCGAGCATTCAAAGTCAAGTGAGCCATAGTTCTCACCCTACTACTCCCAACTGCACCCAGACGGGCAAAAGGAACAGCTCAGTGGATTGCAATGGTGTGGTTTCCCTGATAGGAGGAGGCACCGGGGCACTCAACCCAGACCCTACTTCTCCTGCAGGGTTACTGCTCCCCCCAGTTATTATGGAAAAACCTGGGACGGGCGATCTGGTGAGTACTCTATAACTTTTGTATGTGATTCATGCTCTCGTTTCCTTCTGAATGTTGTTGGAGTTTGCTGTAATTTATTTACACAGTATGCAATCTGCAGTGAGAAACTTCCCACCATCCTAGGCAGGGTGGGAATGCAACAGGCTAATTCACATAGTGACATGTGTCTGGTGCTGCATAAGTTCACAACTTCGGATGAGACTTGCCCTTCAGAGCTCACTGGAAGAAACAGGAGTTGGACTCGATGGTCCTTATGGATCCCTTCCAACTCAGGATATTCTGTGATGCTGTGGAAGGACCAAATACTGGGATTCATACAATTTTTCTTTTCTTGAAGGGATATTTTTCAAGTTGGTTCCTTTGCCACTTGGATATCTGACATTGGGCGTTGGAGAAAAATAATGTTTTTAAAATGATTCTTTATTCAGCCTTATCATCTTGAGACTGCGTTTTCTCCCTGTTTTTTATCTGTACGCATCTAACTTCAGCTCTTGTGTATAGCTGCTTGTGGAGGGCTGTTCTTACTGTCCACAGCTAGTTCCCAGAAAGTTCTAGCATCCAGTTAGGACAGATGAGCAGATGATCAGAAGATTTCCAGGATCTTTGTTGCAAAGCACCATTACTGCAAAATATTTCTTAAGGCTGGAAGTAAAACGATTAAGACTGATATGTTAATAGGTAAGAATGAATTCACTTGGAAAACTATGGGATGCTGTTTTGAAAATAGCTTCTTCACAGGTGGGGCAATCATGTCTGGTTGTCATATGACTGATACGGTGGGAATTTACCTCTTTTAATGTAGATATCTATGTTGGAGCTCATCTCTCTCAATAATCTTGAAAGCAGTGGAAGTCTAGTCACTATGGTGAACATGGGCAGGATTTATTTCACCTTAGAGATCTGAAATGCATTGGAATAATCTCTGTCCCTAAAAGCGTCTCTGTTCTTTGAGAACAATAAGAGCCCAGGGTGAAAAACTCCATATCACAAAGGTCTTAAGTAAGGTGAGATGAAACCCACATAGAGTAACCACATATCAAAAATGGATTACACTGAGAGGGTGAAAAGCAAGTGATGTTCTAATGTGCATTAGGCAAGGTATTTCCTGAAAAGAAAGGCAAATGAGATAGATCCCAGCTGTGGTGTCAGATTAGCAGTAAATTGAGAAGTAGCTTTCTTTTCTCTATAGAGAAGGTGGCTCCTTCCCTTTCAAGCCTTGGTCTGAATATTTTCCTCACCTATCTGAGCACTCCCTGCAGCCCTTTAAATAGACTGTCATGCTATAAATGCGAGGGGCTGTTCTGTGTGTGGGAAGCTATGGGAAGCATGGTGGTATGAGAATGATTTGCTTTGTTGACAATATTGAAGCCATTGCTGCTTTGTTGACAGTACTGGGGCCATTTCTGCTTTTTCAGATGTTCACAGTCATTTAGGACTTGGGTTCTCCCATTTGCACTCTTTGCAAGCAAGAGAGATCAGTCCTGAGAGCAATCTCTAGACTACAGAGCAATAGATAGGCTGAAGATGGTGGGCTTTTATTGGGATTATGTTAAAGAAATTGTGGAAGAAGGAGCTTGTGCATCTTTTAAAAAATATATATGAATTACACACAGTAGTAGGGCTTAAGCAGATGAGCAGTGGATGTCCCCTTTTCTCTGTAAGACGAGCAGCTCTGCAGTCTGCTCAGGCTCTCGCAGCTGTCAGAAAGCTCAACAAACCATGTGAGCACTCAAGCTTTTACAGCAAAAAATGGTATTTCACAGGATTGGGCCCTGAGGTGGCAGGGAGACTTTGAGCTCTGCTGGCGTTTCTTTTCGTTTGCCAGCTTCCTGCCTTTTGAAAATGAATGTTGAAAATGAAATGGCCTGAGTGTGCAAGCTCACTAAGCAGTTCCCTGGTTGTCTAGGAAATAACACCCAGACACTATAGTAACAGATGCTTGGTCAGTGATGCAATGTGAAGGATGTTGTGTCTCCTGCAAAACTGGTTTGGTATCTAATCTAGCCAGAAAATGTGAGCTGGAGTTAAAAGCTAATTGGAAAGAAGCCCACTGCTGTACAAATGCATTTGCTACAGAAACCATGAGAGCTGGGCACATATGTGCAGCTGCAGCTGTGGGGCACAGGCAGAAGGAAAGAGCAAATCGAAAACCTCAGTGTGATCAGAGATAACACCTCTGGGGCTCTGTGTTGGATTATTTTTGCTATTTTCTTGTTAAACTTTTAAGTTAAGTTTGTTCCTGCTTAGTAGCTCTGGCTTCTTTTTATTTTCTCTTGGAGGAGGTAGAAGGATGATATTACAGGATGAAGATGAAGTTAGCTCATTAACCCTACCAGCCCCAACGCTGTTATTTGTTTCATATGAGTGTAAACCCATGGTGAGAAAGGACCCACTTCTACAATTTTAGCCTGTTCATTCTCAGCATCATTCAGCCTTGAATTTACCCCACGCAATGCAGTTGGGACTGGGATGATCAGCTTTCCTGCCTTTATGCCATTGCCTTGTCCCAGCTGCGGGCTGCTTGCCAGTGGTACTGGCCATGGTGGCAGCTGATGTGACATGACAACATCCACACTGCTCATACCAGATTTTGGGAGAAGTTACCCTGAGAAGTTATGGCTGTCCCATCCCTGGAGGTGTTCAGGGCCAAGCTGGATGGGACCCTGGGCAACTTGATCTAGTGACTGACGTAGTGATGGGTAGCTCTGACTGTGCCAGGGAGGCTGGAACTAGATGATCTTTGAGATCCCTTCCAATGCAAGCCATTCTATGATTCTCTGATTCTATGTAAGTCAAATATGACTTTTAAATGCTCTTCATTTTATGCTGATCCTGGTTCTTGGTATGAATAGTTGTGGGTCTGCTTCCATGAGAAACTAAACGTTCTTACATTTTCTGTCTCCTCCATTCCTAAATACACCTACTGAATCAGGAGAAAATTCAGGTAATCTCAGTGGATGGTGCTTAGACCATTCAGTCCAGTTATGTAGAGTAGTTTGAGTGTTCAGCAGTCTTTCTGGTCGCAGAGGACATGGTCCATGCAAAATGGCATCCACCCAGTAGAGATTCTAGGGAGCAGTTCTTGCTGGCACCAAGGATTGTGCTGCAATGTTCAATCTAGAAAGGTCATATGAAGAGTAAAGAAGTGTAATGTAAAAGTATGATCTGCAGACACTCTCCAGAAGCTCTGGGTCAAGCAGTCTGACTGGATGTGAAGAGCAAGAGGCTCATGTTGGAGGTTTGCAGGATGCTGGTGCTAGGAAACACGAGCTAAGTCCAAATTATTCTCCTGGAGATCCCCATGATCCTCAGAGCACTGAATCAGGACTGGCCCTGATTTCCCACCAGCTTTCTTCAAGTGGTGCAGCTGCTGATTTCAGCTTAGCCAGGCTTAGCCTGGCATGAATAGGCTGAAACCTGCACCTAGGTTTTAAGTCCTATTTTTTTTTTTTTCCTTGCTTTGAGACTGATATATTTTGAAAATAATTCTTCCTTTATTGCTGATAACAATTGTTGAACTAGAGGTTTGAACTTTCTGTGTTCTTAGAGAAAGTCTGAATGTTATTTAAGCAACTTCGGGGCACAGTAAAGTCTGAAGTTTCCATGTGCCTATCTAGAATTTATTTGTAGTTGTGTATTACTCTGTTGTGCCTTGGTGTATGTAGATTAGAATAGCACCTCCCTTCACTAGATACTGATCCATTTGGACAGAATTGGATTAAATTAATGAGCTGTTATTGGGACCTCAGTTTATCCATGGGGTCTGATGGAGATAAGTAAAGCACCTTTGAATTTTTTGAAGGCTAAAAGCTACAGAGGACACCATCCACTCATCAGAAGCAGAGCAGGACCACCCAAAACATGATTTTGGAATAGGCAGCAAGGGAAAAGTTGGGGCTACCTGGGATCTCCCAACCTTTGCTGACTTTCCTCTTCATCATGGTTTTTATTCTCCTTTATTAAAATAAAAATCCAGGAATTGATTCTTGATGGAGGGAAAACTGCTGGGGTAAGTAAGCCCTGAGTAAAGGCAAGGCAGTTTATTGAGGTGCCAAACTGAGGATTTAGGAGCTTATCTTCAGACTGAATTTTGTTTGTTTTTTTAACACAAGAAGAAGAGACCTTGGCTTTTGTTATTTCTATGCAGAAAGCTGCTGACCACATGTGTTTAAGATTTTTGTTGACCTTAAATCCCCCCCAAGGTAGAATTTCTTATCCTATTTTATTTTTTTTTTCCCCTCCTTGCCTTTGCCCCAGGACTGTCGAAAAGGCAAAGCGTTAGCAGTTTTGTCTTCAGAAAAAGGTCAACACAATAAGTCATCCAAACACTGCCACCAAGAAGTCATATGGCTGGAAGCTCACTGGCTGGGGCTGCTATCATCATGGCTCCAGTTTCTGTTCACTTGAAACTTTACTTTAGCACATCCTAAAATAAGACCACACCTGTGGTAAATTGTTCAGATTTAACACAAATATTGCAAGCTTCTCCAAGTTACTGTGCATCTCTTTAAATAATCAAGTATTCACGAAATTAAATGCCTTTATTCTTAAGGCTGTGTGCTATTATGACCACTACCAATATCATTAAATATATATATTTTTTGTGCCTTTTTGGGTCCATTGTTCACAGTGCCCTGTCTACCTCTTTTATGCTTGAAGAAGATTTTTACTGTACAAGGAAAATTAAAGCTGTCCCAGTTCCCAAATGTGATCTTTAAAAATGCTGCCACATACAAGCCCATCTTTGCGTAGTGATTTTGACATAGCTCAGAACAGTGGATGCTCGGAATAAAATAATTCTGCAATGTTATGCATCCTCATTTACATGTAAATTACTGAATAGCATATTTGTCCCTATAGAATTTAGCTAATCCAAAGGAGAAACATTTGCAGTCAATCAAGGAGCAACACAAATAATCTTGTCTTGACAGAGATGCCTGTATTTAACTCCATTGTGATTTCTCATCCGGACTCTATGGAGGCTCCCTGCATAACTATAGAGACCCTTGGTTTTTTTGCTTTATTTACATAGACATTTAAATATCATGACCCATTGTGCCTGTGTACACTCCCTGTATGATGCTAACAGCCTTTATAATGCTGTGCTTGTCCAGTTCCTGGAACTGCTTTGTACCTCGGACTGCAAAAACTTCCAGTTCCTTGTGTGAGGGTTAGCTATCTTACTTCTAAGACAAGTAATAAAATCTGCTCATGGATCTATTCTTAACAAAGAACAAAAGCTCATGAACTTCCTTAAGTAACTTCAGTAATTTTGAAGAACTCATCTGCATGGAAATTTTCTTTTCTAGAAAATATACTTCATGCAAAATTGCAAGCTGATCAAATGTGCTCATTGTCCCTCGTCCGGACAATGGGCACCACTGGAAAAAGCCCCATCCACTTGACTCCTGCCCATTAGAAATTTATTTATTCTTTTCTCCAGATGGAACAGCCCCATGTCTCTCAGCTTTTCTTCATCAGGGAAATGCTCCATGCCTTCATCATCTTTGTGGCCCTATACTGGATTCTCTCCAGCATCTCCCTGTCTTTCTTGAATCGTGGAGCCCACAACTGGACACAGTACTCCAGATGTGACCTCACCACAGGATCACCTCTTGCCCTGCTGGTCACACTCTCTGCAATGCACCCCAGGATCCCATTGACCTCCTTGGCCACAGGGGCAAACTGCTGCCTCATGGCCAACCTGTTGTCCACCAGGAGACTCAAGACCTTCTCCACAGAGCTCCTTTTCAGCAAGTCAAGCTCTAAACCCGTACTGATGCATGTGGTTATTCCTCCCCAGTGTAGGACTCCACGCTTGCCCTTGCTGAACCTCATCAAGTTCCTCTCCACTCAACTCATCAGGTTCAGCCTGGACTCATCACATATCCTGGCTTGGCTGAATCCTGCAATGAGAGGAATGAATCTGAATGTTTTCTCTCTGCTGTTACAGTGAATACTCTTCGCACCTGTGAATAAAGGTGGCTTGCAGATAAAGGCCATCAGCCCATGAATTTTGCAAAAGCAGTTCTGCATGCATCTGTGGGAATATATTATCTTACTTGACAAACAAAAAAACAAAACTTCTAGGGATGAGGTTGTACAAAGAAGTGTTATAGATATATGATAAATTCTGGGTCAGAAGAGATGGGAAGATGTTACAGTTTTAAAAGAGTTAGATGATCCGTGGAATTTGAGGATTTCTTATGCTTCCTTCTACAGACAGAGGGAACTGGCAGAAGAGTTGCTTTGCTCTTTGGCATTTTTAGTTGCTTTTCTTTGTTTTGACTTTTTAAAGCCCTTCTTTTTCACCTTTTTTTTTTTTCTTTTTTTTCTCCCTTTAGTTTATTCTACTTAAAAGTATGTTTCCCTTGTGGCGCTTTATATTCCTAGTTGGTTTTTTTTTTTCAGTCCTACATATGTAGGTTTCTCCAGAAGTAATGCCTCCTATTTATTTTCATGGAAATTACAACTGGTAGAAAGAGCACAATAATACTACCTGATAGAGCAAATTCTCAGCTACGAAACACTATTTTTTGAACAGAGTCACCACCGTTAGCCAATTTGTGCAGGTAATCTAGCTGTGACTCTTTTCATTTCATGCTGTGACAACTGTGCATGGCAGTCTGGAACTTGGCTTGTCTTTGACATTGCTCTTGCCACTGCTGAAACAGACCACCTCACTGTTTGGTCTTTATAAACATTCAACATCAGGTGCCATTCTGTCAAATTGCCCCTCTGCTGCCAACCTGTCCCACCATCACACTGACATCCGCCTCCGGTGTCGTGGGCCAGCATAATAAACTAGGAGGCATTATTTTCAGAGCAACCCTCTACTTCCTATGTTCTCTAAATTGGTGTGAAAGTTTATGCAATTTGGTAAATGCTCTCTTCATTACTAAAACATTTGTTGCTTGTTTATTTTACATTTTTGAGGTGGAGGAAATGAAGTGAACTAATGAATTTGAATCATCATTCTTGATTTCCCCAGGCTCTAAACGAAGCATGGAGCAATTTATTGTTCTGTTACACTCAAGTGGGATTCTTTTCGAATAGATTCTGATTACACCTCTACTTTGGGTACAACTGCATCAGTAACTCAATGGGCAATGATACAACTGTTTTAACAAAAGAGAACATTTTAGAAAAAAGAAAGCCATTTTGAAGCATTAGTACTTTTCTCACTTAGCTATTGTTTTAAGTGATTGCTTTAAACGCTACTCTCCTTGCAGGAATTGGTATTTTTATCTGCAGTTCTTTAAAGTGACCTGCTAACCATATCCCAGATGACTGTTTTCAGTGTCAACAAATGGCTGAGCATCCTTGTCCTTTGCAACCATCTGACGAAGAAGAGATCATAATCCAGAAAGACAGCTCAGAGAGCATCAGTACTCTTTTACCCCCACTGTCACAAAATTGCCTGTCTTGAAGAACAGTTTTGTTGGAGGAAACCCAGCCATGGGCAGCAGAGCCAAGGAGCTTTTGCCTATAGTGTCTTGATTAGGTGCTACTTGAGGCACTTGGGGCCATTTCAGATCCAAAGAATCTGAGAAGACCCAGAATCCAGAAGATTAAATCAGGTTCCCATAGCTCATTTAGATACATAGGGGCAAAAGCATTACTCCAGCATCTGTAAAGCAGGGGCTTTCATCTTAGGGATTTCTTCACCTTTCACATTTTCTTGAGCTGTATTTTGGGAACCATTGGGACCCATCTATCTACAGTGCATCTCTTTTGCCTGTATTCAGTGTCTGACAGCCTCGTATGCTTGGAGGAGCAAGACAGAGCTTTTAAAACATTAATTTGAGAAGTTATCTTTACTGGGTGGTCTGTTGGAGAGGATAGAATTGAACTCGGCTTTCCCAGATCCTACAACCCAAATATCCTTTCTTTTTCCTCTGGCAGAGCTAGAGGAGCAGATCAAGTAGGAGTTGTCTCTGCATAATGTGGGAACTCATAATAATGAAAGTATTATCATTGTGAGCTGAAAATATTAAGTATTAAATACAATGTGCCTACAGTTGTGCTGTGTTTCTTATTGACTTCAGAAACCTAAGCCTTCAAAAAGCATAAAACTAATTTAAAATGAAATGTTAAATAAAATTTGGTAGTTCTGTTTATCTTCTGGTATTGGAGTTGCTTGTGG